AGAGACCGTGAACGTGAACTCGAAGCCGTGAGAAGAAGAAGAAGTCGAAGTTGTGAGAAGAAGTCTGAAGTTAGTCGTGAACTCGTGATTAACTCAAGAAAGAAGACGACGTTGTGGAGTAAGGAAGCTTCACTGATTTCAGATTCAGACCTAATTTAGCCCAAAAAATTAGGCCCATGGAATAACAAAAGCCCAAAATTTTGAACACTTTAATTATGTGATGTGTTACTTTTGAAACTATATTTCTAAACTCTAATTAATGCATATTATATATATAATTCTAAGAAATATTATGTTAACCGCTATTTCCGATATATCACCGATATATCACCGATATATCACCGATATAACCGATATATCGAATATCGGTCCTGACCGATATTTCGTATTCTGACCGATATAACAGCATAGGGGAGGTCCGAACGAGGATGACAAAAAGGTTGAGAAGGTGAGAATAGATCTCAACCATCAAATGAGATGATCCTAGGGATGTGATTAAAAAAGGTGGTGACAACCTTTTTCTAAAGAAAAAATATTCCCTCACCCCTATTCTTAATCGAGAATATGCGAAATATAACAAAATCGAAGCCAAAAAACGAGCACTTTATTCTCTTTATAATTGTCATCCATATTGTTATACTTCTTCATCCGGCTTTTCGTCATTTTCATTTAAACCAGCCCCTTCCTCCTTGGCCAAATATACATGCAGAACTGACATGGGCTTACCTTGTTTTACAGCATTACAAGATGGATACTCTATTGCGGCATCATAGATTTTTCCTAGAACAGAAGTCGAATCATATGACATCTCACGTTTCTTTTCCAGAAAATGGGGATATTTTTGTGGCAATAAACATTTAGGAATTTCAACCTGTTTCAGAAATGCAAGAGAAACAATGTGAGTGGAGTATCTTGAAATTTTGTTGCAGTATGTAAGGAAAGAAAAACTGTCTTCTATCCTGGTAAAAATTGAACATGATAGCCAATTGTTTGAATAAAGAAGAAACCGTCCAAACAAAGCAATCAATGAAAACAACCTACATTAAAGTCATGACCATAAAAACATAGTAATGGCACAGTATTGTTGGTTAACAGAAGAACAAACAAAAAAGTCATGATACTGTAAATTTAGAAAAGAGATCCAGGATGGCACCTAACCTTTTTCCCACTCTTGGGTGCATCAAGAGCATCGTAGTACAAGTCAACCAACTTCAACAGTTTTTCTTTAATCCGATGCTTCTCATCAGCATAATTTTCTCCCAAGGTCAGATAGTGATCCATAAATGTTTGCCAGCTATCAGCTGCTTTACCAGCTACCATACTGAAATGGTAAACACTAACAACAATGCAGTAGCTTTACCAATAAAAAAATAACAATGCAGTAGTTTGTTCAACATTCAAGACCAGCTTAACAGCAAAGGCAGTTCTCCCAACTCAAATACCAATTTGATGTTGGCAGAAATGATCGGGATTCACCAGAAATTGCACAATAATATCTTCCCATCATTGTATTGGGGCCAAGCTGGTTGTCCCAATAGTTATTACATAATAAAATTAGGTATTTAGCTTGTTACGGATGAATTATAATAGGTAGAAAGTGAGGGAACATACCCCTGCTTTTGTGTAGCAAAAAGTTGAGTAAAAAGCTCATTCTCCAACTCCTCGTACGAGAGCTCRCTAGGTTTCTTGTTAGGCGCACTWGGTGTTGAGTGAATCCTTTCCCACGGCTCACTTGCTTTGAAGTAATTCAACAGCTGGCAGTGTACATGACAGCTTTAAAAACATTATAGTGCAGGAAAATCAACACCCTTCGTTTTTCATTGATTAATCATTTTAGGGTATAAATCTAAATTGCCCGCCACAAAGAATCAAAAGAAAGCATAAACTAATGCAAAGTGAGACAACTGACCAAGTAAATAGAACCCCACAAAAATTGTTAGAAAGTGCCCTGAATACAAGCACCATCCTTGTAAAAGAAGAAATCTAAAGGCTAGGCCTAGGGGCTCCTCCCATAGGTTGCCAGTTCGTGTCTCCTCCTCAGGGCTAAGGAGAATTTTCGTGGTTATCTTCTGAGCCCCATGAGATTAGTCAAGGAGCGTGCAAGCTGGCCCAGACACCCACAGTTACCAAAAAGAGGAAAAAGAAATCTAATAAGAAACATAAAATGCCTACCTGTGGGCTTCTAGATACCCAATACAGATCTCCATCGAAATCACCATTTGCAATTTCGTTTCCCACCGATCTCCTGCCCTTGGTGGAGAAAAAAATGCCATATTTAGCATTTCCAACAAACCCTTCCAATTCCTCTACATATTTTGCAGTTAGAATGTGTATGTCCCCAAAATGAAGGCCTGGATTCCTGTACACTAGAACCTTTCCTGATATCTGGCCATTTTCACTGCATAGCCAGTAAGAAAATGAATCGTAAGTACCAATTCTACGCAATATCAGATTCCATACTAATACCTAAGTGCATATATAACAGATGTCATTGAAGCAACATGCAAATTTCGAACCAAATCATTAGTTTTTTGTTAGCACGGTTACCACATCCTGCTTGGACATTATCATAACCAACTGAAATGAAGTAGAAACAAATGCATACAGAATAATGCAAACTTCATCACTGTTCAAGGTTCCTGTAGGATCAGCTGTTCCGATTAGATAGAAGCTTTCATTGACCGGAATCTTTCCACTACGAAGCCCCTTCCGCTCTTCCTTTGCTAAGACAGACAAACGATATTGAAGGTATGGTTCATCAAGTGGAATTCCACAGCCTATCATTGCTACAGAAGTTGCAGAATCATCCATTTGTCCATAGGTAAGGCCGACTGCGTAAGGAAAAACACTAGGTCAATTCTACTTGAGAGGAATTGCCTAACAAGTATTATTTATAAACGAATATTGTATGAGGGAGTTGACAGAGACATTAGCTTTCATGGGACTCGATCCATCGCTCCAATCAAACAAAACCAAACAAGCCCGATATATCCCACCCGGAGGTGGGTTGTTTGGGGGGGACGTAGGTATATCTGACCTCTACCCAAAGAGTAGAGCGATTGTTTTCGTGAAGACCCCTGGTTTGTGCAAAGTGTACGAAAAAATAGGTAAAGCTTGCTCAAAATTTGCGGAAATACAACATTCAATCACTCCAATCAAAAGAATTGATAATTATCACATAAAAATTAACCAGGATTCATGATTGGAGAACTAGGCTGCTAAGCACCACTTAATTTCTCCATCCTTTAATAACATTTACGAAAAACGTCAAGTAAATATGCATATCATACATCTTAAAATTGTAATAAATACAGTTGGAAAGCCAAAACATCAGTGCGTGTMAAAAGTCAAAACAGTATGGCCAAAAGAAACATATAACATAAGCAATTTGAATATCATTCATGGGCACAATGATCTCAAAAAACGAAGTGCTAGTATCAGAAAAATAGCAATAGTTGGACTCGAAGAATACCTCTAACTGCTGCACGCATACTTGAGGACACTTTCTGAGCTTCTTGCAATGCACTTTCCAGCAAACCCAGAAAGTAATTGATAGGAACACCCCCTACACTTAGAAGYGCRATCAARTTCTTTGATAGATTGGCTTTCCTTGGTCTACGACTGAAAATTGAAGAATAGGTGGTCATGTTGCCTATCAGTTCTCCAATAAAACATCCACACATGAGTATAAAATCCAAATTTAATTGTACAATCCAAGATTGAAGATTTAAAAGATTTAACCAAGAATTGACCGATGTGCTAGTTTTGTGTTTACCTCCAAAARAAGCATGTAAGGATTGTATCATGCCCAAGGACGAAAAATTAAGTTAACTACAATTTGATAATGCCATGAGATGGAACTCAACTTTCAAACTTAAAAATAATTCTTGCARAAAAAGCAGTATTAACTGAACTTTATAAACACCCTTACAAAGTACGCAATCACCCTCACGGTGTGAKRCGAAACTATAAATTTAATTGTAAATCCAARCTTGAACATCTAAAAGAAACATAGGTTAGTTTCGTTTTTTCCACCAAAAGGAAGAAGACAAGCATTTARGGATTGTATTATGCCCAACRAGGRAAAATTAACGACAATTTTGTAAGGCGATACGATGGAACTCAACTTCCAAAACTTAGAAAGTAGATCAAGAGAAAAATGTGGTATTAACTTAAATAACACCCTTAAAAARCATGCATCACCGGCATCAATTGGGAGTTCATTGAAACTTTAGTTGATTTTATGGAAGCTTTATACAACGCTAAGGAAAGAGGATGAAACTAGAAGGGTGGCCAAATTACATATAAAATGGTAAGCAAACTCCTTTTATTTTCCACAACAAAGCTCTTTATTCAAAACTAGTTGGGCGAGACCCCTTTCCAACATAAAAGAAAATAGAATGAGACTAGCAAACTCTAATGAATCTACGTRTCTTCTGAGACAGCTACAATCAAAATGCACCGAGAAATTTATTAATGATAATGTAATTTTACCCACACGGTTGATTAGAAAGAAGTAGCATAAAAAGGTGTCACTTAAGGGTGTCATCATTATGACTTGTATTTGCGATGGCATCCCTCRATTCCTTGTATATCTTCTCTTTGGTTGACAGAAAAAGTTCATTGTTCTATAACAARATGCCCAGCTATCTTATAGAACACTGTCATTCTTTAGCCATTTCTATRTGTATGCAACTATGATGTCCTGTTTGTATATGTTTTACAGCAGAAGTTCAAGAAAATTAAAGAAACACAAATTTACTAACATTTGATATTAACCCAGTGGTATGGAAATAGGCCTTATGGAAAAAAATAACAATCAATATTATTGGCACTATTGCAATAATGATTTTATTCAATACCTTTTGCRTGCAAGAATAATCAAATATCAAGACCATGGCATGACTAATAGGCTAACTATTTACAGACATTGTCCGAACATTACGATGCACCTCAAATTCACCATCTGGTAAAAGGGACAAAAGCAAAGAAGATTAATAGTCAGAATACCTTATGGAAACTATCTCCAATGAACTGAAAGAATTTGAATCTGAAAGTCTTGCATCTTTCTCAACCTTGATCATTGAGGGTCTAATTTGAATTGTTCGGTCTTTGAGCTTATTGAAATATACAAGAAAAGAAACCATGTGAGTATCAGCAAAAAGGCACCTGATCCATAAGACAGTAGAAAAAAGCAGCATAACTGTTTTTATAAAATCTAGAAAATTAACAGGAGCTTATTTGTAATAACCTTAAAAATTAATGGATGTGGGTCAAAATACTTGTACATTTCAAGGTGATGCCTTACTGTCGATCAAAGTATAGTTGCTATTTCAGGTATAAAGTGTTGTGATGATAACTTTTAATTCTTCAACTATYGGGAAATGTGCACCTCATGTTTCAGAGAGTCATGCTGATAAAAAGCTTCTCTTTCTCTTCTTACCACTTYCATTTGTTATGRAATAGCRTTTCACAAGCAACTCTCAAGAACATTCTAGAATCTTGTTGAACTACAATTAGACTGCATCTATTTTCCTATACAGATTACATGAAAAGATATTCCCTTATAAGATTAGATATGTGTGTTGATGTATACTGAAAGCACAAAATAAAGGGGGTTGTCGTAATTAAATTACAACAGATCTGTCATTTTCATCCTTATAATTCTATAGATATAAAGGCTTAGTTGGGCAGAGCATTTACCCCATCCTACATGCCAATGACAACATCATTCTTTCTCAAGCATGGTGCTTATATTAGCATCAAGCCAACAACCACAACCTTTAATGAATGTTTACTTTCATACCAACATGGAGAATTTTTTGATTCACAAASTATCCATAAGAAMCATAACCAAGAGCATTTACCTTTTTATTTAAAAGAAGAGTTCCTTTGACAGCATMACCTTCTTTGAACAAACGGCATTGGACAAGCAAAGGCTAGTACAAAAGGTAGAAAACTAAAGTTAGCTTATGGAAGATTCAACAGGACAATGAAGCATTATATCATTTACCGGTTCTATGATGCAAGCTTCCTTGCCTTGCTGTCCCAGTGATACTTCCTCAAGCTTGAGAAGATCAATTAACTTGTAAAATAATTTGAGAAACAATAACAGGGTTAGAAACCAACAAGGCAACCAGTTGAACAAATATATCAGTGATGAAAGACATAAGGCACGGATTGTAACATGTTGGCTGGGATGGAAGCATAGTTCCTCATAAWAGATGCATCAACACAAGTTTTCAACAATATATAATTGATAAACTGATAAGAAACATGCATTACTGATTACAAGATCCTCAGTGGAACAACAATAACATGATAACAATWCTAATTATAATGGGTCACTATCTTGTACGTGCATCGTAATAGAAACTTCAGGATATACGSATTGCAGTAGGAAGTGTTAGATAAACTGATCAACTTGGGCTCCTGATCCTCACTCCACTCATTTAAGGCTATCATCACAAATGATAATAATAACCAATTAGTCATAAGTTGAGACATAACTCGATTTTTGGAACACACCAACAAAAAGGACCTATTTGCACATGATGAATGGAAGTTATGTAAATATCRAATAYTTCACCTCATAATWATCATCCTTTCTGCCCTTYGCTTCAATGAARTCTTTTGCACATAAAATTGCCAAATCTTCAGATATGAACCCCGTTCCATCTGTATGTATTAGTGTTTCACCATCTTCATCACAAACAACAAAGCCATTTTCATCCTGTAATCAGTTGGATAGCAGCAAAGTTTGTATGAGCTGAAGGAGTTTGCTTTTGTGCCCCATGCATGGGGTAAAATAAATTATGTAGACCAAYAGAGAAATATAAGACAAATTAAGATATAAAAGGGCATACACGACAAGGAATATCCTCAATTCTTTCAACATGCACGGATGCAAGATCAACGCGAAGCTTTATTGTATTTGATAGCACAAGTGAACATCTGCAGCTAAGCAAAAGTCAAGGGTCCAACAAATTGCATGGAGGAAAGACATCCGCAAATGGCCTATTTCTGTACACTGACCTAGAGATGTACTTGGCCATGCTAGRGACCGTATGAACATGCATGAATAGACACCTTGCCTCATGGCTTGTCTTCTTGAACAAAATGTAAGGGTCTCTCTCATACCAAGGYGCGTGAGATTCTTTTCTAACGAAATAGCATTTGACAGCCCATGAYGACTGCAGTTTCTTCATACTGTACACTTGATTCTTGTTATCTCCTCTAGTGTCCTTAAATGCTGAGAGGATAGCATGGATGCTTCAGAATTTTCCTCCATATCGCATGCAAATTCACAATTGCACTTAAATGTAATTTACAATAAAACACCATACGACATGCCATACTTGACTGGGAAACAACTCTAWCAAGTTTTATCCCAAACTACMTCTGTAGCAAAACGTGACAACCTTGTTTTGTTTTAACTTGAATTCAAACCTTAAGCTGATCATGACAACAAAGTTGCAAAAAGCATGCTAGAAAAAATTAACAGAAGGAAGGTAAATTGTTCACCAAAAAGACGATAATGACGCAAACCAATTGAAATCCCCCCAGCAATCCTCTGATAAGCAGCAATCCAGGTACAAWAATTGGATGGCATGTCAGGTGTGTCCGGACCATCCGTAAATYGGACAATCAATACGTTGTCATCTCCTAGTTCCCTTTGTAGGTGAGTTCTTCTTGTATTAAGATACGGTCCCTGAAATTTCATAACAATAGCAAAAAGATATTGAATAAACAACAAACTGATGTAGGTTATGCTATAGTTGTCCGAACACAATGCACTGCATTAAATTGATAAGCATGACTTGCAACTACAGAGTATTGAATAGACGTAAGCCAATATTAGTATTTCTTAAATCCTAAATGCGTTCATTTCTCTCTCTCTCTCTCTCTCACACACACACACACATACTACCCCATATTATGTGTTCTGTCTGAAGTAAATTGTTTCATTGCCACTTTTTTTTCAAGGGTTTATAATATGTTAGTAAAGCATTCAGAACGTGAAACCACAACAGCAAATATCTACTCCAAGCCCCACCGCTAAAATAAAAAATTAAATTAAACCAGTTTGACAATGACCATAAATTTAGATTTTCCTAATAACTTTGAGGACACGAGGACATTTGATGGTGAAGTCAAGAGTATTTTGAGTATTTTCTTTTAAATAAGCTGCATAAGCTAAGTAGATATAGATGTTGTGTATGCTGTTGGTTTGCAAGAAACCGCTATTAAGCACCACCACCACAAGTAGACTGCAAATCAGCAACTTCCCACATTGAGATCCCCTGATAATCCAGTGGATTAAGTAATACATGTGCCTAGCAAATTGACTGAGCAAAGATAGCACTTGGGTGCTGACATTTCCYGGCTACCATTCTTCACTGTTTAACAGACGAGCTGGTTCGGTCATTTTGGGCAAAATGTAACGAAGTTGGTCTTAGTTCCTATATCTATTTAGCTAACAAATAAATTTTTTTCTCAATCAATGTAATGAAGTTTCAAAAATTTCTTTTGTTTACCCATTTTGACGGATAACCTGCTGATTTGATGATAGGAATGTCAAGTTTATCATCCTCTTCACCATTATCCTTACATAAATGGGTATCCACGTCATCATATGTTACAAGATCAGCAAGTTACTGGTCAAAATGGGTACAGAATAAGATATAATGTAACATAGGAGCTGGTTCAGCCATTTTATTTTTAATTGACTGGCCAAGGACAGTGGCATGGCAGAATACATGCTTCRTGTCTTGATTTTATTTYATAGGTTCARATCTGAAAGMACAAGAATATACGCTGTTTACTGCTAACTGACACAATTAAATGTGGCATTTGTCAAAAGTTACACCATCAGCAATGCATCTCTAACACCATGTGCATATAYCCTGCACCACCAGAGTTTATTGTAATAGAAACACTAATAGGTAATACAATATTATGCATTTGCAATCCAACAAGAACAACATGGAGCAATGAAATATGGGAAGAAATTGAATCCTAGCACCATAATACACCTATGAAACAAAAGACAGCTGAAAATAAAAGAACAGTCAAAACATGACCAGTCTTAAAGCATATATGAGCTCCTAGGTACCAACCAAGAAGATCCTTGACGTTTCAGGTATGGTTGATATAAGTCAYAGTAAAGAACCAGCCCTGTATGCAACCAGAATCTCCCAGAGATCACACACACAGGCTTTCACTTCATATGTCTGTGCCCCTCAATGTTACAATCAGCTTAAATACCTTCAAAACTATGAATGCTACTMTACATGCATCACATCTTCTCACGCCTGATTATGAGAGATTATACAATGAATGCTAAATTCAGAAGAAAATCTTTTATTCGCAAATAGTGGATATGACCCTGGAACATATGTGCAGATTACATGAATGGACTCTCAGACTTACTCTCCACAAGCCCATCATGTGTCCACCACTCAAAAGGCCATATATAAATCATAATGTTGTATTTCCTCAACAATCAACATTGGATAACTAGCCTCGACATTGAATAATTAAAGACAAAAATTCATCAATTTGGGAATGCAAAAGGCCAAATAGATAAAGCAAGGGCCAAGCTATTTTAAACAAGACCAGGAAGAACGAAATACAAACCTTAAACTGGTAATTTCCATCAGCGCACACATAACAATGATAAAGATRAGTCTTTCCAGAATCCCAGTCAAAATGCTGCAATATGAAAGACAATTAGAGATCCTAGTGATGAACAATTGAAGCATATGATATGGCCTTCTATGATTGTACAGCTCAGCCTGATCTTTTTGAACTCCAAAATCAATATACTTATATACTTCATTAAAATTTGAATTCTTGCATAACCAAACAACAATTCATGTAAGTTGTCCTAGAATTGTACAAGGTCGTCTGACTATAGAAGCTTAAATAAAAAGACAGCTATATATTACTAATAAAATTTATCTTGTTGGAAAGAAATTGGTAAAACGAACCTTCGTCCATGCCTCCATTATTAACTAATAGTATTAACTAATAATATTAACGAATAAATCATGAAAATGCATTTCGTACCATTGCCCTATCAGAGGGTTCACAAAATTGCCGACCATACTTGGCCCAGATTTTAGCCTCAAAATCCAACATTGACACGCTTTTCATGGATTTTATTTCAATGGCATCTTCAACAGAGACCACATCTTCAAGCCTTTTCCTGTGCACAATCTAGCTAAATTTAAGTGATCAAATATAAAAGCACATGACATAACCATCAGATGCCAAAATCTTACTAACCTCCCAACATAACTATATACCATGAACATCTTCCTGTATTCGAGTTCAGCAAGGAGCAGTGACTGTTGACTAATAGCAAAATTGCCTGTACCTTCTGAATGGTTTGTAGTCATAGAATCAAACCCCAGTGCAAGATTTCTATGAGTGGCCGCTCCAAAACTCTCACAAGGTGATAAAGTAGGTTTCTCTAGAATTACAGAACCATGATGGGTGGCACTTGAAGAATCAGAAAAGTGCTTTGCTATGTTACTAGGACTTGCACCCTTTGAACTAGAACACCATGATAGAGTAGGTTGCTTCTGGACCGCAGAAAAAGGATGGCTGGCATTTGGAGAGTCAAAAACTTGTTGTCTTTCTTTACTCACATTTGCAGCATCCAAACTACAGTCCGGTGAGAATATAAGCTGTCTTTGTACCGGGGAAACATAATTGTGCTGTGAAATGTTTCCAAGATTTGCATCCTTCAAACTAGAGCAAGGTGAGAATGTAAGCTGTTTTTGAACCGAAGAAACACGATGAGTAAAGGCCGAAGGTTCAGTCAAGTGACAAGTGGTGGTGTTAGGATTGGCATCCTTGAAACCTGACGATGAAAATGTTATAATTTGCTTGGTAACCAAAGAACCATAACCATCATTTGGAGATCTAGGGAAGTACTCAGGATTGGTTCTAGACTTGTAACTAGAACCGGGTGAGTGTACATTTGGAGAAAAATAGCATGCACTTTCTGCACCCAAACAAGAAAAAACTTAGCAATCCTATATATACAAGATTTCCTGAATATTATTCAACATTATATCTTTCTTCCTCTTTATTTTAAGGTAAGGAACTGATGACCAGTTTCATGAATACAAATTTGCATCAAAATGGAACATCTTTTATTAAGTTAAGGATCTATTGTCTATATAAACATCCGAGATATTGACACCGAGGTTAGAACAAAATCAAAATTTCCTCCACTTGATATAAGAAAGTTAATCCAAACTCAAACAATGACGTTAATTTCTTCACATTTTGAACACCACACTTAAGCATTCTACTTCTTACATCCTCCATTCTATAACAAGCATCCATATTCGAACTGTGCTTATTGAATTAAAGTATACCAAAAATAGTAACCATTCTGCTATAATTCCAAATACTTTTGAGAGGCCCCTTTCAAACACTATTCTTCACATGAACGTATCTATTTCGAGAAAGAATATGATGACTGCGATTAACTAAACCAGAAGAACTCTGAATAAGGAACAAAATGTTCTAAACGATTAAATTGAATACTTATATTAGATGAAAATAGCCAGATTTACTTTCAGACAACAAACTATACATTTTAGGATAAACCCTAAACCACAACAACACAAAAAACAA